CTGAACAGAAAAAACCCCAAAACCCCATCTTTGTTTGAATCTATAAATTAAAGTCTGAAAATTAAGTATATTTAATTGAAATTCGAACCAATTTATATTTAATCATTAATAAAATTATCACTTAATATGCAGACTAAGTTGCAGAATTATCTTTCTCAAACAGGGATAGATAAACTAATAAATGATGCTTTCAAGCAATTAACTATTAATAAACCTAGTGATCCAATAGTTTACATCGCTGAGTATTTATAACAAAGATCTTATGCCTTTGAGCAAAGCATTAATTATCACAAAACATCTACTTAGATTAATTAAACGAAATAGAAAATTAACGGATAAATGAAGGGTTCGACAGGAAAACTAATATCAATAGAAGATTTAGAACGGCCTTTCATTGAAGGTGAAGGTACCACAATCACTTTGAGAAAAGTTGCAGGAGTAAACTATCAACAAATTAAAGGGCCAAAATTATAAGACATACCTGAAAGCCAGGAGCCAGAGGATGATGATGACGATGACTTTGAAAAAATATAAGAGACTTAAAAACCAGCTGCTGGTATTTAAATGGATATATATAAAACTAGTTTTAGCAAGAACACTCAAAATTCTACATAGATTAGCACAAATCTAAGTAGCTTTAGTTCTCTTGCAGCAAAAATTTCACAACAAGATAAGAATATATATATTTAGTAACCGGAAGACCATTTAAAACTCTATGTGATGATATAAAACAATACTGTCCTAGCATTAAGTGATATTATTGAATAATTCAAAGATGATTTCAAGCATAATCTAAAGGAATTATATGAGATGGCAGCATAAAATTAAACTCTAGCTTTAGTTGATTATGAAAACTATCACAATGATGAAAGAACTCCTTCAGCTAAGATGCTTGAGGAATATCTAAAATTTAGATCAAAAAAGTATCAAAATATAATAGAGATAAATGAACTCGCTTAAGGAGCTGAAGCCATCGTTTTTAGATTAGAACATCATGAAATTGATGAAGTTGTTGTCAAAACCAATAAAGTATTTGATTTATCTTAAAATCAGGAGTTTTTCTAGCAGCCTTTTATTGACTTTATGAGAGAGACCTTATCTTTGAAACTTCTCCAAAACAAAAACTATATTGCTGAGGTCCGAGAAGAAATAATCGAATTCGATTTGAAAAGCAAACAGATATCAAGGTATTGCGTAGTAGTTGAAAAAGCTTAGAGAACTTTAGATGATCTATTAAAAATTTGGAATAATCCTGACTAATCAGAGAAGTATGTTGAGGCTTACAGTCCTGAAAAGCTAGCTTACTTTTTTTACTAAGCTTTGAGTATTATTAAGTATCTGCACAGTAAAAATTTCTATTATGGCGATATGAAGCCTTAAAATCTACTTATATTCAGAAATTAAAAGGTTAAAGTTGGGGATCTTGGTATATCTTTCAAACTTGATTCCAAAATTTAAGCTGATGAGCATGCTTATTAATTAAAAGGACTTACAAAAAATTTTGCAACTGAAATAACATACTAGGCCATGAGAAAAGGAAAATTATAATCAAAAGACTAACTCTTTGAAGCAGATAGATATAGTCTCATTAGAGTGTTTTAACATTCTATCAATTAAGTTAAGAGTTTACATAGTAAATAAGAAAGTAAATATAAGTAACTCCCATAATAGATAATGGATGACATGATACAATTAAACTCAATTTCATCTGTTCATTAAAAATATTAGATTTATTTCAGAGAAAATGACGAATTTGTAACTACACTATTTTAATAGATGAAGAATGAGTTTAAATTTGATGCTATTAAAGTAATATCAAGAATATCTAGATATTCAGAGATATTTGAGAATAAAGTTTTCAAGATAATCAGGAAAATTTCTGAAAATTCACTAAGAAAATAATATGAAAATTAAAATATTGAAAAATTAGAGAAACATGAGACAATAGAAGATGAATAAAATGATCTGGCTAACAATTTATAGTTTAGATAGTAGCTTTGTGACGTCCTTTAATCTTAGAAGAACCTCAAAGATTATCTTGGATATCCTATCTTAGAAAATAAGGAACTTATCTTGTCTATTGAGTCATATCTCCATATGAATAATCCTTAATAAAATGGTATTTTAGGTACTTTTGATTGCTTTGAAATTACTGATAATATACTTGCTTGCAGCTACTTTTAATAAAGAAATACCTAGGCTTTTGATTAATACATCAGATTTATAGAGTATACTGTAAATGATCTTAAATAAATATATAATATCACTGATAAACTTGCCAGTTTTATTAAAAATTACAAGAATAAAAATAGTTTTGTAAAAAATGATATGCTAGAAATCGGATATGACTTCTATATTAGATTGATGATTAAGTTGTTTACAAGTAATTCAGAAGACAAATATTGAGATGCTGATCATTATATTCATAATTTTGAAAAGCTATATAGAGAACTTGAAATTTTGTAAATGAATGAATTATTGATCAATGCAATAACATATATTACAAAATACTTTTATTTTCATAAGAAATTTGAAATTGCACATAAATATTTTCAAAAATTCTAGATATCTGACAAAATTCATAAAGAAAAATTCTTCACAGATGATAGTGTAAAAACAGCTAAAATATACTTTGACAATTTAAGAGAATTAAAAATGTTTGATGAAGCAGAAAGTGAAGTTAATAAATATCTAGAAAGAATTAAAGATTTATATGGCGATTCAAATAAACATACACTCTTACTCTATGGTTTATCAGCTAAAGCTATGCTTCCTTTAAAAAGAATTAAGAAAAATAATCCAGAAAAATATAAATTAGGCCTTATATTTCTAAAAAAATATAAGCATTCATCTAGAGAGGCATATTTAGATTACTTATAGTATTTAGATTTTTTAAATGAAAAAAAAGATTTAAGCTATGAATTAGACAATTTATCTCATTTTATGACAGGCCATTCAATTATAACTGGCTACTAATTTCAATTAATTTTGAGACATGTCTACCTCGAATTAGACAATGCAATATATTCAAAACGTGTTATGGATTTGCAAATATGGATATGCAACTCAAGTAATGTGTATAATTTGATAATGCAATTTATGAATACTTTCACAAACTATAAAGATTATTAAGGATAGTTTTAAATAAAAATTATCCATCACAATCAGCATTCTAGCATATATGAGTATAGTCAAATAGAAAATCTCAAAAAATTGAACAATGAATTTCAAAGAATTAGAATATTATATGACTAAAAACTTTTTAATGAAAGCAAAAAATAAACATTTATAAGATTTGGAAACTTAGAAGAACTTAGTTCGACTGAATATACTTGATTTTAATTATGTGGCTTGCTCTCATGTTAAAATTATAAATTATGGCATAATTAATTTAAATGATTTATCAATTATAACAATTAATTAAACTAAGGGGTTTTGGGGTTTTGGGGTTTTGGGG